AATTGCTGGAGTGGAAATGATGGCGCAGAAGTGAAGCCGTTCCTCTGGCAAGGTGGCAGATGTGGCGGCCATCTTACTAGGAGCATGATAAAGTAACACCGTTCAGCGATTAAAAACGAAGCGTTTTCTCGCACGCCCAACGAGTTCAATGCGGGAACTTTTTCGGGTCACACATTGCTCCAAGTGCGTCTTACAGTTACTAGTTTTTCTTAGTGAGCCTCTAATTGGAGGCAAATTTTTTTGAAAATTCAGTCATCCATACTCGTTTCTGTGTGTTATTTTGTCGGGAACAATTATCTTTTAATATAGAATTAACGTATCATTTACATAACATATCAAAGCTACTTGATCTTTAAGTGGGCACTATCAAAAAAGAGCATGTTTCCGCCATCTTGGAAGTTGCAAAAGCTGGCTTCACTTCTGCTGGCAAGGCATTGCGGGAGCTTCCACTCCAGCAATTTTTCTTTATTCCTCCTTGGGCGAAACCCACCACGAGGAATGGGCCACGAAATGAACCGTACCTCAGACAGAGAAGAGATCGACGCTCGCGTTTATCTGAGTGAACGCTTTTTTTAGCGGTGAAACTCCTTATAACGACACTCATTCGTCCCTCCTAGCCGTTGTAGTGTGTAACAGGTACAACATTTCGACCTCCAAGGTGGTGCTAGTGAGAGCTTTCTTCAGTCCGATGTTGAACAATGAAAAGTAGTGCTCAATGTACATGCAAATTGCTGCTAATGAGGAATGGAAAACAGGAGCATTCGGCTTTTAGTTAACTCGCACGCTGCGATCCCCAGTAGCAGCCATTGGCATGTACATTTAGCACTATCTGACAAGAAAGGCTTGCTACGTTATACTCGCTGGGTGTAACCTCCTTAGCTTTAGAAAGCTTTAGCGAGCGTTGAGCCGCAGTGCCATGAATACAGTGAACTAGTATATACCATGAACTCGAGGCGGTTAAAGGGAGGATGTAGACCCGAAGCGCAAGCCGTAAAAAAGTGTGCGTGTACCACCTCTCGTTTAGTCCTTGGAATGTCCGCTGTATGGCGGTGCTTCTGTATGGGGAATATATGATGAAAAGATGCGAGATGGTTGTACTTGGAGTGTTGAATAGATGGATGAAAGGACAGACAGACAGATGCATGGATGGATGCATGAACGGACACAGGGGTGGAAGCATGGACGAACGCAGGGACGGACGCACGAACAGACGCACGCATTGATGGGCGGATGTACGCATGGACGGTCACACAGACGAACGCATGGACAGACGGAAGCAAGAACAAATGGACGGACGAATGCTTCGCCCCACTCTCCATCATTCACTCCGTGTATATGCTGCCAATTTTTTTCTTTTGCGTGCTCTCGAGGAGCCCCGCCTAGCAACCACTTCGTTGTGCATCTATGCATGACGCTTCCCTCCAAATTGTACAGCGGTAAAAGAAGGGGAATGATTCGAGGGTCTTGGTTTCTATCTTACACACAGCTCACAAAACCAACAGATAATCAAGCCAAGAAAAGAATCACAGGACATTATTCATTGTTTTTTCTTAATTGAGCGTTGGGTTATTGAACTAAATTGAAAGAAAGTAAGGAGGAATAGAAAATCACCCCTTCTCTTAGGGCTTGCTAGTTTTTATTATTGATTATTCATTACATCGCACATGACCTTGGGGAAACGAAGGGTGGTGTCCCGTGTCACCTTTAACATCGTTGTTCATCGTTTCCTTTGCCCCTTGCAAAGATACACGGGTTACGTTACCCCACGTGCACAGACGACAGTTTAGTCGAATTATGGTAGGTTTACTTGGTAAGCAAAAACTGGCCACCCTATCAGCTCTCAACGCAAGGGTGTATATTCTTTCTCTATTCAGGCTCTGTACTCAGTCGTATACTTTTCTCTGTCATAGTGCATTTTGGTTTATCGCAATAAAAATGACCCAACTTATCGTTGGAGCAAACAGCACATGGAAAAAAAGCTGAAGTCATAATATTCGGGGTTTAACGACCCACAACCACCATATCAATATGAGAGACGCCGTAGTGGAGGGCTCCCAAAAATACGACCATCTGGCATTTTTTAACGTGCACCCAAATCTGAGAACATGGGCAGTAGTCATAAGCGAATCGGCCCGTAGAAGACATACAGCAAAAGTAAAGAGCACCAGGTTCTTTGAAGTCGCCATGTCACACACAGGCAGCCAGAGCACGTGAAATCACCAGACACTAGCCGGCTATCACCCTGTGATAAGCTGGTCTTCAGCGGTCAGAACCTCCACATACTGGCCAAAACGACTAATCATATCGCCAATAGATTACGGCTCTCTCTACCTCGCGAACCACAGCAAGGATGTGTCATTGTCTCGAAGCATCTCATGAGCAAGACATACGAATAGCGTATGCCTTATATTTCTAATTATCAAAGACTTCATTTACGAGATGAAACCTAATTAGCACAATGGAAGAACTGGCAGAACATGAATGATGTACTATAGGGCCGTAGCTAGCAGCCACCGCCATCACGCCGATAGCACAATAGTACGCTCTCGTTTTTATCAAAGGGAACACAGAGGGGCGTGGCGTGAGCTCTGCGCCGGCTGCGTATACTGAATACCGACAGTTAAAGCAAGGCCATTCGCTGCTGGTGTGTTCTGTTGGCAAACACAATAAGGAGTCTTGGTCGCTGAACAATCGCTGATAGATTATGCTCGCACTTTAGTCTCGCAACGGGTGATGCCACCAAAGGTGAACGTGCTTTGTTTAGCTGTGGGTTAATGGAGCTGTAGGCAGCTGCCACAGTGCGCAGGCCGTGCACTCGCGTGTTCCTTTTCATTAAGGACGACACGGTGTAAATGTATACAGATGTCCGAGTGAGCCTACATTCACTAATTTTTACGGACGCATTAGGCTTCGCTGGTCCATGGCAGTTTCTCAATCAGATCGTAAATGAGTCGCAGAAGTAACAGTTGTCGCAGAACCGTCCTTAACGCCTACGGAGTTTACCGCAATTATACGAGTATTAGCGCTACTTCGTGAAATCACGTTATCAGTTTGTTTATGAAGGACGATGGCAGTGACATGCCACTAATTGCTAGTTTAATAGCCATTGATGAGTTGTATCATACCGGTGCACGTTAACAAAACGGATATGGAGGTTGGCCAAGCAACCAGGATTGATAACTCAGAGGGCCGCAATCCATTACACGCATTAATACACAGATAAGAAAGGCGCTGCAGTGAAAATAAGCAACATTCACGTGGCATTCCCTGTAAACCAAATGAAGTAATAGTTTCATGGAAGTAAATATAAAGTTAGCTGCAGACTGATTGTGCACCAATTCGAATGGGCGCAGTAAGGAATGGTCGTTATCAAGAGGAGCAGGGTTATGCCTGGCATTGTTTAAGAAAGCGTGGAGGCGTTCTTACACATTCAGTGCACTTCAGCTGTGCAAGTTCTTCTACTGAAGGGCTACTGCTTCTTGCTGAGCCATTAACCCCGAAGCATCATGGCACCACGCTATCGGCACTCGCAAACACTGCCTCTAAACCCGTCTGGTAGCATTTGTGATGAGAGCGTCAAGCCGAATCAGAGCTGAATCTGAAAGAGTGCCCAAGCCGGAGTTTCGGCTTAGGCATGGCTTCTAATCAACAAAACTTCGCAGAGTAAACTTGGAAGACACTTAAGCTTCACGTTCAACAGAAGAACATGACAGGGCAATCGAATGCTATCCGCACCGCCTCCTGCAAATCTCTACAATATACTGAACTAGAATAATCTACTTCACTATAGTCACAACGATACCGCAAAGGAACGGACGTCACTGAGCGTACGATTGCCCATTTCAGATTTTCCTAAGATCCCTATAATGTCATGCCCAGTTTCGGTCTTCCCACTGCGGAATACTTTTTTCCTTTATAAAGGAAAAAAGTATTTCGGGTACTTCACAATTAGTATACTAATAATGAAGTACCGCGACGCGTTCGTAAGGCAACACGCGACCTTACGCTGCAGCTGACATTTTGATGACTTTGCTGCTGGTAGTGCACGGTGCAATATGCCAAAGCACTTTGTAATGCGTGGCTCCTTGTAGCAACTCTTAGGTTCCTACACCTCGGGGGATTCTACGCTTTTAACACGTAACCGTGCGTAGGCTAAGGAGACTCCCCTCACTTCAAGGCGTTTTTATAGAGTTTTTTTCTTTCCTAGTGTTTTCAAGCAATGACCTGGCTCTGTGGTAGAAAATCTGCCTGAAACCCAGAAGACTTGGGTTAGATTCTCACTCAAGAATCAGGGCTCGCACTTCTCTCTTTTTTCTTCAAATCTTCTTGATATATTGATCACAACAATGCTGATACATAGAACAATGCAAATGACGCCGAGGCCAACATAAAAAATTCTGTGAAATAGCTTCGTTACAGCTGTCACTTAAAGTGGCCGCATGAATATTGAAAAATATACTCTATCTGTAGCGGCAGAATCTCTGGTATGACTTTTTTTTCTTTTTCCCAGATTAAGCTCTATGTTCATTTTGATCTGTACACGACGTCTTTCTACCGCCTATGCGGTTTACGAAGTTGAGATGAAATTCTAGTTTAACACGCGGATGTTTATTTGCTCTGCGTGTGCTGTGATTTGCCGATATGTATCATTTTTGTTTTGCGATACTGAATAGTCGTGTGGATCTCTTTCAGGGCACTATTTCCAGCTTGCTTCTGTTCCTCTCAATAACAAGTTATGAAAAATAAATTACTAAAATCAATGCAACGATTTGGTATAAATGCACATATTGACAGAATGGTAGTTTGGCTAGTTGGGGGACTGAATATTCACTTGTTTGTACTGCTTGGAGTGAATAAGGTAAGAGATTAGGGCACTATACAGCTGATGCCGCGCCTGTTTTTCATTCGTGTTTATTTCGTTAGAGCAAACATGTCGATGTATATACATTTGTCTACTATACAGTTTCCAACACTTGCACTGAATTTGCCTTGAAACCCAGAGACCTCAGGAGCTGCTCGCTGACAGACGTACAAGAAGACTTGTTCGTTCATCCGAAGAACCTCACTCATCTGTGAGTACTGCGCACGCTTTTGGCATCTCCGTAGTAGTAATGCTTTAGGTAGATGTAGTTGTTGGCTGCCTTGCACTTTTTGTCGTGTTTTTCCGTAGTCAAGATTGCTGCGAAGAAAATCACACTGCTGCATATATATATATATAATATATATATATATATATATATATATATATATATATATATATATATATTATATATATATATATATATATATATGAAAAATAACCAGCCGTGAGCAGGAATTGAACCTACGACCTTAGAATAACGCGTTCGATGCTCTAACCACTGAGCTACCACAGCGGCCTTCCTTCCATCCACTTTTTGGGGTTTGTATGTGAATTTAACCCATATATGTGAAAATTTTTGCCATTTGAAATATTTACAAAAGCATGATTCGCCGCCTCTATAAAACCACGATATAATGACGCAGTTCACTGACATTTTGGTTCATTTTTTATTACATTCTTTTTTTTTATAGTTGGCTCGATGGCAACGATATTGAGTCCGTTCAACCACGTGCCTTCTCACATCTGAGTCGTCTCCAGGTTCTGTAAGTCACATATCGCGAACTCTTTTCTGATACGATTTAGCAGTACTTAAAAGGGCAATAATTTCCAGGAATCTGGAAATCAAGTCTTAGAAACTTTTTTTCACTTTATTTAAGACTTACCCCCATATTCACAAACGCTCCTCGATTACAATTTCGTCCTTCACTTGACTGAGTTGAGCACTGCGCCGCTTCTCGACTGAAATTGACGCTGAGCTTTTCAAGAACTACTGCAGATTATTGCCTATATGCAGTGACTCGGTTTGACAGCAGATGGCGCTTTCCTCGACTTTTTATCAAGTCAAGGTGAAGCGTCGAGTGAAGGAATGTTTTATAATACGGCGGTTAGTGCTGTGGAACGCATGATGTAAAGTTACGATATGTCAAGGTCGATTATTTTTTTTTACATTACGTTGATTTGAACAACGTATCTTATTGGCCTCAAGTTTTTTTATTAGTATTACTTTTAGTTATTATCAGTATTATTTTTATTACTTTATTGGCCTCAAATTTTTTATTAGTATTACATTTCGTTATACGATGCTGCATAACGAAGACACCACTGGAGTATTGGTTACTGAATTTGAATTGTTTTCACAGATGCTATTGTTTTCTATATGGACGGCTCGCATTGCAGCTTTGTATCCAGAGTACTAGGCCTACCGTTGTGCTTGCTTCTCAAGATCTGACGCATCTCTAGGTCTCTGACAAGGAACAAGCTTGTCCGCCTCTCAGCGCACGACTTCACGGGTCTTGTCTCTCTCCGAACACTGTAAGTTGAATCTAGCACTTTAGGGACCTTTTCTGAGTGTTCTGATGATATATTCAGTTTTATTATTTGGAACACTGCTCCTCCAAGGGTTCTAGGTGTATATTGCGTATTGTGTGTTTTCTTTCCTTCTATAAAAAAATGTTCAAATCTGTCTTGACCGTCGTGAAGAGCGTTAACGAGCCATCAATCCAGCTAAAGAAAAAGCAAAAAAATATGTATATTCCTGCTTTTTTGTAGTAGGTTGTTGTCCTGATTGATTGCTTCCTCACAATTATTCCACTTTGAACTTTGTCTCTCTTTTGTTCTAATCACATGTTATATCCCAGTAAAAGTGAGTGCGACCGAATAAATAGTAATATAATGACAATTGTTCGGATGTAACGTCATAAAATCGCTATAACTTCACCACGTGGCCATAAGAGAAACTGTAGTGGAGGGCTTCCGAAAATTTCGACCACCTTGGACTCTTTATGGTGCGCCTCAATTTAAGAACATGGGCTCAAGCACTTGCGCTTCAATCTAAAATGCAGCCACCACGGCCGGGATTCAAACACGCGACCTACGAGTCAGCTGCCAATAAACAGTATGAGCAGCTGATGGTGCGGTAACGGTGAACAGATAAGCTGTTTTCATCTGTTAAATGAACTAGATAAACATACAACGCCGACCCCATGAGATTTATTTTGTCCGGCTCTGTGGTATAGTGGTTCCGGAGCTCGGCTGCGGGTCACAGGGTCGCCAGTTCGGTCCTGGTCGTGTGGGTAGCATCTCAATGGAGGCGAAATGCTAAGGATCATTGGCTCTGCGATGTCAGCGCTTGTCCAAGAAGACTTCATAGCCGACAGTACAGGAACCTTTCATTAGGCCAGGCCCTATAACAATCTCGGGAAGCTGGCAGTGAAATTGAAGGTATTATTCGTGAATAATGATATTAATAATACTATTGTTGAGAAGTTTATTGGCGGACACTTGTCGGCGATGCTTGACAGCGACAGTCAATGCGGGTACCGACTCTCTGCACGAGCTGCTCTTCTTTTTGCTAAAAGGGCGACCCACTAGAAGGCGCTGGAGAGGATTATTATTATTATTATTATTATTATTATTATTATTATTATTATTATTATCATAATTACTGGCCTTTTTCAAGCAAAAGTGTTACTTTGACATGCCAACGAAATACATACGCCTTATTCGTAAACTTCTGAAAAAGAAATGTGCTTTTGGCCGGAAATATTTCCCTGAAAGTATAACTTGACTTTCTTAGCAAGCGTGGGAACTTCGGCGTACTTTTTCAAAAGACTGCTTTTACCCGCAGACTCACTTGTGCTCGTAACAAGGTCAGATCAACAAATGTGCACGAATTTAGACTGACTGTTGCTTATAGTAAATGGTGCTCAATAGCTTGACTGCATAAAAAAGCAAACAAGGCCAACTGAATTCGGCTTCTTGGAATAGTAGGTCACTCTACCAAACATCTACTGCATGTAGCCCATCGAAGCTGGGTAGCATCATAAACCATTATCAAGGATCACGTCAGTTGGCACGCAAGAAGGACTTACATTCTGACTGTTAAGAAAGTTAATTTATAATTAAAAAAAGAAACAGCATCCAAAGTTATTGACGAGAAACGTAAGGGCGTCCAATCTCGAAGGACGCCTTACATTCACTTTCAAGACTAAGAATCCGATAGTGTTATCGACACCATTAGAAGCCCCTTCTCAGTCAATAGCCTAGCTTTGCTTCTTCATGTACACCTCAAAGATGCTGCAAAAAATAAAGTATTGGGCGTTTCAAGCTTTCCTAAAATACTTGCTGGAAATACAGTTGTAGAATGTCTAAAAACTCGCATTACAAGTGCATTTCGTGAACCTAAATAACGAGGACTCGCAACCGAAGAACAGACTTTGAATTATTTTCCCCGTATATAAAGTGTGTTTTATTTTTATGCATATTAACTTTTTGTAGAGCACGAAATGTTGGCATTAAACTTTGATGCGAAACAATGAAAAGCATTGTGTGGGTCTATGAAGGCTGTCCGTATGATACCCTTGAACAAGAAATAATTTTGAATACATTTACTTCAATCAATTTTTCGAAGGTGTTAGAGCAGCTGACAGAAAATGAGGGACAGTTAAAGACCAACAAAGAATGAATGCTACCTGAGCCACAAGGCGAGAAAAAGAAGTTGACCAGACGCATGCTCTGTTTGCTACTCTGCTCTGCAGGAAATAATAAAGTGGTGAAAAGAAAACTAGAATGAAACAGTAGGATGGGCAGACTGACAAGCACACTTGGGGCAGCTCAGAAAATTTCTACAGGTGGTCACAAAGATCTATTGACATTAGGTGTTTCATCAGCCCTCCCGTTGCCGTGTGCGTCGTCGACGCACGTGTCCATGATGCTAGAATCTCGGCTGCAGAAATGCTCAATATACAAAACATATTGACACACAAAGAAACAGTGTCAGTAAGCCACCCTGCAATGAATGCTGAGTTACCATGAAAAAACAAAGTAAGGGGGCTAGAATTGATTTTGCTCGTCATGGCAATCATTTGCTACTCTTTAGTCTATATTAGATCTACACCGCAAGGCAAAAGCCTCTTTCGATGACCTCCGATTTAGTTGATTTTGTACAAGCTGATTCTATTTTATTCCTGGAAACTCAAATTTCCTAACTTCGCCTGACTCACTGCCAATGTTGGTTGCATTTGTTGTCCCTTGATTGAGATTTATGTAGCAATTATCTCTGTATATTTTTATTGCGCCAATTCTCGTTGGTTTGTGCGAAGCAACAGCCCAGCTGAGGCTAAAATGAGGCACTCAAAAAAGAAGAGGGCGATAAATATAGTACATTCCCCGAAGCACAAGCTTCTTTATTGGCGTTTAGGAAAATCTCACCAATAACTTCTTCCCATACGTTAAACAACATCACACACTCAGATGTGATAGGTCAATAGTCACACCTTCCTCCCACCATCCCTACTTGAATTTTCTTCATTTATCTTCGCTTGGCTCCTTCCGTTTTCAACTTATTCCTAACTTCACCGAAAGTGGGTCATTCCTTGATAAATACACGCGTTTTGTGCTAAAAAGCAAAATGGCGTATCTTCCGGTCAGATCTGTACAGCACGCTGGTGTCTCTCTCGCTTGACGTTTCTTCTTGCGGAAATTTGTGCATTTCGCTGGGATCCTACATGTTGTATCGTGTATCGGCACGTTGCGGTGAATACTGGCACTGGCGGTAGCAATGCTGGTGAAACCAGGAACACCGCAACCATGGAGCCTACGTACGAGTCCCCTCATTCTTCCCCAGAGACGCACCAATGCAAACAAATATACAAACAAATATACTGTGCAGTGCCAAGCTGGCACTGCACAGTAAAGAATCGATCGGAAGCAGACGCAGCAGGCGGTATATCTCCAAGCAGCATGACGCAGAAAATGGAAGCTGCACTCTGGTGCTTCATAGATTAAAACACGAGATAAATACAACATTTGTAGGACTTTGCAACCGGTGATTTCTTCTAGATTGACCCATCTTTCTGCAGTGGATTTCATCATCAAACATATATATTCTAGTTGTTCAACTGGTGAACAACTAGTTGTATATGTTCTAGTTGTTGCTAGTCGTTTCTTGATAAGAAGTTTGCTTCTATCACCTTCAAACCGATATGGGACCATGGCCCGCAGGCAACTGGTCAATTACCTTAAACTACTCATTTCTACCAGCCCCAAATGTACAGTGGCCTAAGTTGTTTCGTAAAACAACATTAGCCATCAAGCGAAAATATAGTGACAAGGCAAGGAAATTTCTAGTCAAATTAAATCGGACGAACGGCGTCTTTTTGAAGCTATGTACACACGAACGACTCAATTTTTCAAGCTACATACCAACAGGCTCAGCCCAAGAGTCTTCTACGACAAGTTTACATACGGCGTAGAAAAATTTTTTGCGCTTACTGGCAGCCTATCAGACATGGTTGCCCAAGGGACTTCAATGCGTTGCGTGATTTTGTCCGTGTAGTCTATAAAATTCAGTCGTCACTGTGCCCTTCTGTAGTGAACATGTTATCTTGAAGAAAGGGCATCACCTCATCTACAGGCAGCCGCGTTAAGCATATTTACTTCGTTTACTCTGTAGTGAACATGTTATCTTGAAGAAAGGGCATCACCTCATCTACAGGCAGCCGCGTTAAGCATATTTACTTCGTTTACTCTGTCATCACACCTACGGAAAAAGCAGTACTTAGTCAAGCTGCAGTACTCGTACCTTTTTCACCGTTCCCACTTTTTATCATTGTGCTTTTTTGTTGAAGAATGAATAATAAGGAACTAGCCCGATTCATAGCCATGCATTAATCGTTTCCAGCAATAGAGTAGAATGTGCAGTTTGGGTGAATAGAGGGCCAAATTGAAAGTGGTTGGCGTGTGGCGTGATAATTACATGTAAACCCCGCCTCATATCATAGCACCCGAAAATCAGGATTGTAGTCACTCTATTGTCCATACTTGTCAGTGCAATTGCCGACTTCAGCAACACATTTCCTTGAGCCAAGGAGAATAAACGTATGCAAGATATTTTATTCGGGGGGGGGGGGGGGGTACTCGTTTTTCGCTTACCCCGACACCGTCCACGCTGCAGCCAATCAGAGAGTAGAAATACAGCGCCATCTAGGATATCCTCACTCAACTGCAGTTTGTATATACTTTTGTCAGACAGCGCCGTCTATTATACTGTTCGGGAGATCCTGCCTTCTTTTATTTCTCGTCTCTTCTTTTTGCCGTTGCGCATGACGCATGACAAGGTTAGACTACGAAGACCTTTGCCCCAAATAATCTGAGAAACTCGAGAGGCGAATCTGTCGCATCAAAACACGAAGATTTAGTGGGTACAAGAGATGTCCATGTCTCGCGGCCAGCTAGCATGAGAAGACAGTCCGGTTACGGCGCACACTGCGCTTGCACAGAATAAGCTTATTTTCTCTGTCTGTCTCCAGTTTTTTTCTATCGCTTAGTTTTTATGGGAATAAGGTAATTCAAGTAAAGATAGAATGGGGGCTTTTTTATAAAGAGAGAAGTACAGAGCTGTACCCACTAAAGTGTAGTTCGAATGGAGGCGCATCTGCAGTGACGTCAATGTCTTTTCTGCTAGCCGACGTACGTCAGGCGGTGACGTGTCATTAGGTTTGTAGGGCTATCACATATGGGTCCCAAAGGGAATCAGAGTCGGCCATGGGGTTTTTCCACGTGCCGTATCACTGCCATTCTCCGGGTGCGGTCACGTGGAGAATCCACATCCCCGCAGGGAAGCCCACACTGCGGCTTCTGCAAGCAATGCCGGCCTTCCTTCTGGTCGCGTATTTGCCAAAGCTTCATGTTTGCGTTCCTTGGTTTGATACTTGTAACAGATTTTGCTGAAACAGAGTCAGGCTTTACTTTCTGTTTTGTGTGTGTGTGTGTGTGTGTGTGTGTGTGTGTGTGTGTGTGTGTGTGTGTGTGTGTGTGTGTGTGTGTGAGTGTGTGTGTTTGGTGCGAGAGCTGGCTAATAAATATCATCCCTCACACCACTTGTGCTTGCGGTTCCAGCTCGACAGGAACAATAACACAAAGGATCCAGCAACGAAAGAAAATACGATTCAATATCGTCGCAACTGTTTGAAGAAAGAGACGAGTTCCGTCAATGTTGGTGCCCCACAATCACGAATCAGCGCAGAACGGAGAAGGGACAAGAAAAGGATCAGAGATAAGCGCTTTCCTACGTCTGAGGGTTTATTGAGAAACACCATATGTGTATATGTTGGCATCCCACAACACGTGATAGTGCACGAGCAGTCTCGTAACAAGCCCCAAGAAGCAGAAAGATGTTATCCAACATGACAAATATATGAAGCAGCAATTGACAGGAAAAAACCATGAAAAGCAAGTCACGGGCGTGCACTGTGGTTTACGCTGTCAAGAAAGGACAACCTTTTGTGGGTCAAGGCTACAGAGGGCTTGCCGACACAGATACCCTTAGCAATAATCTACGTCTTGGTAGCCTTGACCCAAAAAGAGCTGGTTTTTTTCGACATGGTTAATCACGGTTTATACCAGTGATATGGTCTCATTGAATATTTTGCGCATTTCTTTATTACATATTTCGTCATGTGAGATAAGTTCATTCTGCCTTACCTGTTGACTACGCCTACGTGATATTTTATTTTTTTTACGCACGCTTATGTCACGTAGTGTGCTGCCGTATATATACATACGCCTTTTTAAAATGAATCCTAATTTAGAAAAGCACGCTTGTCTATGTTCTCATTCTTGTCCCTTGTCCGTTGACTGATTGTTGATGGTAGATTAGCAAATAGGACTATATAAAAACTTCGCTTCTTGAAAGGACATAACTGAAATGTCTAACGCTGTTTTATCAAGATGAGACCACACGAAGGAAACACACAGCCTTGCCTTACTCTTGTTTCCTTCAAGTCCAGACTGGTCCCCTTCGCCTTGGTCCGTGTTCATGAATCTCCGCTGAACACTTAAGATGCGCGCGGATTCGTCAGCAATGGGTCAACGAGAAACACGAAAGTAAGCGTGTCGCAGCCTGGAGATCGTTGTTGCAAGGTAGCAGTAGTACAGTGGTGGATGGACAAACTTATGGCTAATGCTGTATCTTCTCTTGAAAGCGTGGTGACTGGCGGGGACTTAGAACGAGCAGGAAGCATTACTGCTTCTTGTTACACATGTGCGCTGTTTCTCAGGTCACTCGTTGCATTTATAGTTAACCAAAGACGCCAATCAAGTCAGAATAAACGCGACAAGTCTACTGCGCGTGAATAAAGTAAGACACCGTTCGTGAAGAAGCGAATCACATAAGCAGAGACAGAGTGAGTGAAGACCGGAAAATATAATTGCAAGAGGACGCTGCCCGGATGTCACGCACACAGCTCTAATCTATACAAAGAGTGCCAGATATAAGGCACAATTAAGTATGTGCGCTTGCGCGCGTGTATTTTGCGGTGGTGGTGGCGGACAACTGCCCATAACCCGAGTTGTGTTCTCATAACTGCTTTCAATGTAAAAGCTGACATCGGCAGCGTTGGCCTGATGAATGCAAAGAATAAATATCAGGGTCCCAGCAGGAACCGAAACCCAGCATCCTTCATCGCAATCAAATATTCTATAGGGCCACACCAGGCCTCGGACCCTTTTTCTTCTTTAGTAGGCCCTAATGTTCGTGCAACGTCAGTTGTGGTTGCAGCGCCGGTCATCTAATTTATTAAGCAATACAACATTACTCATATGATGCATCCGCCACGTCGGGTTCAACGTCAGTTGCAGTTGGGCGCCACCCGCCTAAGTTTATTTATGTAGCGGTGTCTAGGACTACAGTCCTCGCACGCACCAGTGCTTCATATAAGCTTGCCGCTTCTGGTGCAGCGAAAATTCATGTAGCTGTTAGAATCGTTACGCAACTTGTGAACCACTGGTTTTATAAAATATATTCGGCTGTTAAAGTAAATGTGTTTGTGCATTTGTACATATATTTAACGCCACTTCGTAATGATTCGCGCATTGAAATTTATTGCATCACAGTCACCTTCCATCCGGATGCTTCGCATAAAATCTATTCGTGTTGTATGTCGGATCTGCCGATTTCTTTAATAGCATAGCCCGCAATTGCATGACACAAATTGGACAGTTCACTTATACAGGACTCAGATTATTTGAATGAATGTAGAGCGCATCACGACAGCCGTGATAGCGATCACTCGTTGCCTGCGATAGACGTCACTCTAACTGTAGTCAACGGTCAGATTTTGAGAACCATTTAACACACAGCAATCCCCGCATGCTTTACACGAGTGCAACTCGCTGTTGTGCTAGTGATTGACTACTGATTTTCCGCATGTTGCACTTTTAGGAATACAGGTGTGCAGTATAATAATTCATTTATCGCGCGTTGCATTTTAGGACTAAAAGAAGTATACATAGCGCAATTCTCATTGCGTGAACACTCTCTCATAGTCGCTGTTTAGTATACGGCGTAATATTGCTACAACACGCTTTAACGTTTAAAGGGAATCGCGCATATCTTGCGACGACGCACTTTTTCCCGCAGGGTTCGCGTCACATAATTTCCGATAGCGGGATTTAAATCCGCTGATGCTGCCGCGTTTACATGGAGGCAAAACGCAGTAGGCCAGCACACCTACATATTTAGGCGCAAGTTAAGAGCACTAGGTGATTGACATTTATGAAGCCCTCCAATGTGGTATCCTCATAATACTATAATCGATTTTAATGACCCTCTCCCTGCATATTACTACATATTACAACAAAGAATACAAAAATAAACTTTTGGAACTATCCGCGCTGTTTGCGTTCCTTCGACCTTCTCCCTGCTTGGTTTTATAGGTTCAAACGTATAACACTGGTTATAGGTTATATGTTCACATAGGTTCAAAGTGAGTTTATCCTTCGTACACAGGAACCTGGCTTACAACAAGCTGTCCGACGTGACGGGAGCATTTACTGTCTTGGGAAGCCTGCGGACACTGTAAGTTCTTCGCTCGTCAAGCTCCTTCTGAACATTTGAAAACTGCTTTGTGTAGAAGCAAATAGAGGGCACATAAGAGCATGTACTTCAAAAAAAGTGAGGTGAGGTAGCTAGGGCAGCATAAGGCCGACAAATATATTTTTTTGTGGTCACAGTGTAAACGTTGCGGTGGCACGGAGCATGGAGGAAATAGAAAGACAGCACAGGAGACGGCGCGCATAGCTTTCGCAAGCCAAACATATTCGAAGTTTCTCCCCTCGTACTTGGCTGGCTTTTCAATGCTCTGTACACCAGTAATTTACCTGGACCAAGAAACAAAGTAGAACGACAGAAAAGGGGCGCTTGCGAAGCAATATTTCCCGCATGAGCGCATGAGTTATATCTCAGGCAAAAAGTCTAAGCCTACAGCTAGAGGAGCTCAACACGTTGCTTGCCTATAATATTATGCGAGCCCTTGAATAAACGTTAAGACTTCAGTTTCAACACTTGTGATGCTAAGGGTCGTAGTTGGAAAGCCTTCAGTGTGCTTGACTTGGACCACGACCACGACCACGACAACAAAGGCAACAAAGGTGGCAATGGGAACATCTATTCAATACGACGAAAATGTACTAATTGAGAACATGCTTAGTGACAGTTTTTACAAGTCTAATAAATTTTAATGAAGCAAAAACATAAGAAAAGCTCAAAACATCAAACTGAGAAAAAATACCAATAATCGTAATTATTCCCTTACGCATACGAAATCATTGAGTGTAACGAAGCAGCAAATACAAGATTAGCACCAGTCAGACTGGACATGTGTTCATGCGCATACTATACAATGGCATTCAAAAAGTACAGGCAAACGTGAAATGATGAAAAAATGGGTTAGTAGATGCTTGAGAGAAAGGAAGAAAAATGTGGTAGAATTTCCGACATCTGCTCCTGTATTTTTTCTGTCGTTTGTGGTACCGTTCGGGGCTGGATGTTAATATAATTTAGTTACGCCGGCTTCTGCATTTTCTTTGCGCAACTTCACGCAGACATTGTGACAGTATTTATGCAATGATGTAGGACAGGGTAAGTTCGTTTGGGTCCTTAATTAGCTAGTTCGCCTAAATAAAACAGCTAGATGATAGGCAGAGATGGCGCGACTACCACTCTAATTCAAACAAAAGGTCAGAGGGCCCACGTGCAGTTGCTTTTACGCTTTGTATTGTTCGGTTATGGCGGATAAAAAGAATAGAGTGCATACACGTTTCTTTCGGTTGTTGCATCTGAGCTCTCTCGTGAAGACACTGCCTCGTTCCTTGGTTTTGTCACATTGGCACCTTTATACATCAGACATGCTATAAGATAAAAGGCGCAATACACAAAAAAATTTCTTAGGCAATAGTCTGACCTCGTCGCGTCCGAAATATTGGCCGTTTACTTCATAATAATTTTTAGTGGTATTCAGATGGCACGGTTAAAAGCCTGTTTCACGAGAAATTTCCGTTTAACAAAAAAAAAATGAAATCTACAGGGCGCTTGAGCTTCGCCAGCAAGAGTATAACGTGATAGCATCATCGAGTTCTGCTCGCATGGCATTCTCATTCACTTCAATGAAACTTCATTTCGGCCTAGTTGGTAGGTATTCATAAGCTAAAACGAACAGCAAAAATACTGAACACACCCCACAGAGAAAAGAAACGACACACACACGAGTGCCATCTATCAACTGCTTTATTCCTTAATTTTCAATGCGTATTTATGTCCAAGGCTTGTCTTCTGATTCACTTGCCTAGCACCGCTTCTCAGGCATGCCCTTTTAAAAATAAGGAAGTTTTGGGTGCATGACATTGGTTGTTTAGAAAGTCTCTGGAATGGGCCACTAGCCCGTGATGGAGAGAGAATTAATCAAGAGGGCAATATTTATGGATAAAACGGCGCGTGCAAATAGGCACGGGACCAGTGCGTCTTTGAGGGCCCATGTTTGTACGCTCAGGTTTCTATACACTCGTCAACACTGGGTTTTTGTGACTTATGCAAGCGGCACGGAAACTCGTAGTTCACGAAATCTTCGCTTGAAAAACAAACGCGCAAAGCAATACGTTATGATTTTTGTGCAACGTAAACAATATTTGTGAATATCCTCACTTAGTACGAGAACTACATACCGGCTTATCACTTCTGGTGTTTCTAATACCCATGTTTCTGTTGCCATCATTACGCAACAGTAAAGAATTAGTTACATAGATCATGCGCAACTGTTCAACGTATGTATGTGCGTGCGACATTTGTACATATCTGTAGCGTCACTTCGTAACGTTTCGCTCCATGAAAATTTACAACTAAGTCATCTTCGATCTGCATTTTTTCCATAACAACAATTCTCAAGGTATGTGGGATCGCCTAAACTTTTTAAGGGATCTGGAAAGGTGTCTGTCTTCTTTTGACATCCCTCCTCACTTTATGTGCAAGTGGGTTGTGTTTTTTGGTGAGCCCCTTCAGTCACTATATTATAGAAAAGGAACGCTTTTTTTGTTCAATGCTGTGTAACAATCATTTCTTTCTTTATACGTGTGTGTGCTCAATTCCTGCTGTTATATGACTTGTATTACAACCAATTCTATTAGTGCCACTCTGCAGTTTCTTTTATGGCTGATTTTTTTTTTTTTGCTTCTTCCAGAGACCTGGAGGGCAACAGACTCGACCTTATCCCTGACGACACATTCTGGCCTCTTAGAAGCATCGAATCACTGTAAGAATCATGGCTGTCTTCGCATGCAAAACTCTTGCGGCGTGCACGAGTGTTATGAATATGAGGCAGAACATCCAACCAGAACTATCGCTGGGTGAATAGTACGTATAATTAGCGTTCGTAAGGCCGGCTGACAAGTTTTCAAAACAACACAAACGAAGTCTCGTGGTGCTTCAGTCACAGTTGGACACACATCGTGTATGTATAGGCAGACTGAAATCACCATAAGCTTCTCGTGAAACAGCTACTGGATATTGTGCGTCCATCACTTGCAAGTCTTGAGTGGGTACCATGAATCGAAAAGCTTCAATGAAAGGTGATGCGCCTGATATTCTGAACGCCGCACTATGGAAGAGTTCAGTGTAGTTCAAGACCACACAAGCATTTTGCTTGTGCGCTCGGTTCTTCCTATCTTCTTATCTTTTTATCCCTTAATCTCACTATCCCAGCATAAAATGGCCACCGCCTCCTCTATTTTATCAGTGCCAGCCAGATGCGCTCAATCCAGCTGTTCACCACCCTCTCCTCCAGCCCTTTTCCACTTTCTCCTAACGCCTAGCGTTTGGGTGTGCTTTCAGGTCATGGGGGAGAGTAGCCCCTCATGCAATCCATGTTGGAAAGTAATTTTTTGTTCAGTTGTGTACAGATTCGTGGGGCGGCGTCTCGCATTCCTCGTCTTCACAAAATTGGCAGTCACGCTGGCTTTGTGAAATATACGGTGTTTTGATATAGCGTGTTGCCTTTCGTGGCGCTATGCGTTCAACCAATGGGGAAGCGTTACTGCAACGTTTCTGCGTGCGCTGCTCTGTGACGCGGTGGAGGCGTTGTCTCGAGCCACAGAGGAGCCCGAAGGAACAAACATGATAGACGTATAATATTGTTGTATGAAACACGTCTATCGCATCTTCGGGGGAAAGTGCTTGGACGCACGTGTGACACGAGCAGCGCGACCCCTCATATAGCGCCGCATCACGGCCACTTCTTGAAGTCAGGTGGACCGACGGGTCCCGTTCAGAGGCGCGTATTTGCTTTTGGCTCCGTGTGTGTTTGTGTGGCTTGGAGCTGTTTTCTTACGAAACAAAAATCAGCAAATGTTCAGTGGTTGCACTTCACCACCTTATTTTTTTAGACTTACCTTTCCAAATCCGGTCAAAACTTTCAAAATGACTGAATTGTTCTTTTTAAACAAAACCGAAATACAGCAATAAACGAAGCCGCAAGTGCGATTCGCCGCCCGCAAGTACGAAGACTGTCAAATGTGTTCATTCTTATGACCGCTGAAGGATCGCAGCGCCAGAGTCCCCTCTAGTTAATCTTAGGAAACTGTTTGCCTCTTCGCAGTCCTGCTAGAATTCAGGCGATGGCATTTTTTGTTCTAATCACTCGTGTTGGTTGTCAACTTTTGCATTAAATTTATGTTTGCTTGAAGTTTTCGAGTAGCACAAGTAGACATGCGTTCACTTCTCATTTTGCAGCAATCTGAGAAAGAATGTGTTCCTAACTGCCTCTTCAGATCTATTCGCTCCTCTTCGCAACATCACTCACATGTAAGTACGAATTTATGTCTAGTGAACTGCGCTAAACAATCCTCTATGCGTTTTTTAAAGTGTTCCTGAACATATATATATATATATATATATATATATATATATATATATATATATATATATATATATATATATATATATATATATATAGCCCAAAACGAAGTTCTGTGGCGCACTGAAAATACTGCGTCTATCTATTTTTACTTCGCGTTATGCCATGGCCCTTTCCAGATAGACAAGTAAAAAGTCCAATTTTGTACGTGTGCTTCCTTATACATACACACACACACACACACACACACACACACACACACACACACACACACACACATATATATATATATATCTATTGATATATATATATATATATATATGTGTGTGTGTGTGTGTGTGTGTGTGTGTGTGTGTGTGTGTGTGTGTGTGTGTGTGTGTGTGTGTGTGTGTGTGTGTGACGCTATGATGTATTGGCGACGTAGCCTGGCTCATACCCCATGTTTATTCCTCTCTGCACTTCTTGCTTCTCTACTTCTCCTAACCATCCCTGCCTTCTTACGTTACAGGATTCCCCCTCCCCCTCAAAAGATGGCACGTGTTACAAGCTACAACAAATTGCAGAGAATAAACAAAATAATGGCCAAAGTCACAGTTTCACGTCCCGACAGAGTTTCACAATCTCACTAAATCTTCAAGGCCGAGGGAGCTGTCCGGCGATTTTTACGACGACTCTGGTGGACGAGCTTGACTGTTGCGTTCCGGACAGAGTGGGCTACACATGAACACTGACAATACTGCTTGAACTGTTCTGGGGACTGAGCACGGTTGGAACGCATTGTTGCATCGGCAGCTTGGATGTCGTGGGGGTTGTATTTTTTGTCGTGAATAGTGTAGTCCCGGTGCTTCTTGCTTGCGTGTTTCTTCACAGACTGTGACGGAGTGCCTGAGTGCTTACGGTGTGCAAGCAGTCCCGCCGCGTCTTTCTCGGCGTTTTCTGTGGTAGTGCAGTCGGTGTAATAGCAGGTGCAGGGAGTGTTTCTGGTGACTTTTCTTTGTGCGAAAGTGCCTGACATCTTGAATTGGTCTTTGGTTTAAAGATCTTATTTTCCGATGTTCTTTTATTGGTGAGTGCGCTTCCGTTAAATTTTGCGTTCGTCGATGCCCTCGTTGCAGTCTCTCTCGTTGTAGCATGAGTTTATGAACTTGGCTTTGCTTGCTTTCCTGAGGCTGCACAAGAGATGGCTGTAGTGGCACCCGTTCCGGAATGGGGCATTCATTTCCTTCCGTGTTTGACGCGTCCTGTAGACAGCTGATGAATGGTGAACTAGTGTCTTGCTTGTCGGGCATAGTTGGCAATGCCTCATCATTGCTAGCATGCTCTTCAGAGGCTTCGGTGACGGGGTTCATTAAGGACGCTTCCGAAAGACAACTGTGTACGAGGTTTGATGTATCATGCACTTCTGAATTTGTTCGATTCCTGAATTGGTGAGCTCTGCATGTGGGCGCCACAGGTGACATGGCATTATTAGGTTTGAACTGCAGATTTTGGCAAGTCTGCGGTGCCGTGTAAATGACACGAAGCTCTCCAGGGGCTTTTTTTTCGCTGTTCACTGTGAGTAGTTCTTGCGCCTGGTAGTGTGCGACGTTCGATGCGTCTGAGCCTTCTGTTTTGTTTGGACTCTCGAGAGTGTGTGCACCGGACGGTGATGCATGGAACCGTACGGAAGAAGAATGGTTTAACAGGGTATTTTTCCGTTGCGCCAGGTCATCTACCATGAATACGGCGTCCTTACAAGGCAAGTGGTGAGCGCTAGGAGCGCTTGAAGATCCGCGTACGAAAACCCAGGTGGTGGACCACGTATGCGAGACGAAGAGTGAAGGGCATCAGGTGGTTCAGCAACGTCTCGCGTCATATGCTGAAGTGATGACTTCGGAAATGCCGACTTTCGTGTACAAGGGAGACGCGCTTGACGTTTGGGTTTTTCCCAATGTACGCATGGCCTTCTGTAAGTAAACGGATGTGCCACTTAGTCTTGAGGCACTTGTCGATTCGCGCTGGACTTTCGAATGCTTGAGGACTGCTTGGGAAATTGACGATAGTGTGCAGTTGTCTCTAGATGATTGGCAATGAGTAAGTCTTGGTCATATTCATTAAAATGGGTAATCATCTCCTGTTTGATTTTTTGCCATGATTCGTCATTTTCAAAGATGTGGGTGAGGTAAAACTTGAATGCCTCACCGGAGATGTAGTCAGTGAAGTTGATGATCATCTCCCGTTCTGACCAGGATGCAGCGGCGGTGTGGAGCTCGAATAGGTTCAACCAGTTCTGTACGGGTCCGTCGTCCGCTGATCCGGTGTACTTGGGGATGTCGAGGTCAGTCGATGGTTCTGTCATGGCGCCGGTAACTGAATGCGCCTGAGATCACCTCTTCTGTGGCCGATATTCAGTTGAGGCGTACTGCAGGTGGTTTCGTGAATGATGTGAGGTTCATGAGTGGTGGCCAGGTCTTCATCCTGTCGACTCGTGTGACGCTGTGATGTATTGGGGACGTGGCCTGGCTCATAACCCATGTTTATTCTAGTCTGCACTTCTTCCTTCTCTACTTCTCCTAACCATCCCTGCCTTCTTACGTCATATATATATATATATATATATATATATATATATATATATATATATATATATATATATATATATATATATATATATATATATATATATATATATTCCAGTCGGCCACTCAACCACCATGCCTGCCTATACGCCTATATATATATATATATATATATATATATATATATATATATATATATATATATATATATATATATATACATATATATATATATAATATATATATATATATATATATATATATATATATATATATATATATATATATATATATGTATATATATTAATGAGATCTAACAGACAGTAATGCCAAGTAATGTACAGGGGAAGTTATTAGAACCAATGGAATGTAAATAAGAAGAAAGAAAAGTGTATGAAAAGATAACCAGCCGTGAGCCGTGAGCGGTTCCTGCTCACGGCTAGTTATTTTTTCATCCACTTTTCTTTCTTCCTATTTACATTCCATTGGTTCTAATAACTTCCCTGTACATTACTTGGCATTACTGTCTGTTAGATCTCATTAATATTGCGTTAAAACACGGAAAAACGAGCCCTTAGGTATACACTTATTTCTCTTATAATATATATATATATATATATATATATATATATATATATATATATATATATATATATATATATATATATATATATATATATATATATATATTATCAGCCTGACTACGCCGACGGCAGGACAAAGGCTTCTCCTATGTTCCACCAGTCTTCTCAGCTCTATGCTTCCTGCTGCCATTTTATACCCGCATGCTTCCTAATCTCATTTGCCCACCTAGCTTTCTATCTTTTACCTACTTAGTTTATCTGAGAATCAAGTCATTTATCCCTAATGTCCAGCAGTTATCCAGCCTATAGAACAACAACTGGTCATTTAGGAGGTCGTGCCTAGTCAGTTCTGGTCGTTAAGACGCCACCCACGTTTTGAACAAAGTAGTTGCGATGAATGCGCGTGTTTTTGACTCAATGATCTCTCGACAGCTACAACACCTTTCCAACAAAACATTGTTTGCCAATTAACTTGGCTTGATGTCAACCGTACCGACAGTGTTTTGCCTATGGCTGCTGGGAGGACTCTACCGTGAAAGCATATAAAGTCATCATTATACGTGTGCCAGTTAGAGCAGTGCACATATTTGAGGAGTCATAAGGGCTAACGCATCTCTGAAGGCTTTTTGTCCTTTAGCGTGTAGACGGTCATATCCCGACAAGGAAGCCATGCCAAGACAGATAGTCGTTAACTTAAATTGAGGCTTTTGAGACGCATTATATCAGGACTTCTCCACAGTCATGTAAATAACGTGAAAATTGTAGCTGAGCGTTATTTGCTGTGGCGAGGATTTGTGGAAAGATTATATAGGCTGTGAAAGGCTGCCTGCGGAGAATAATAAGAAAAGTTCAGTGAAATTGTCGGGGTGGAGGGTGTAGAAAATAGTGCATGACATGAACTGGAGTGATGAAGAAGGGTATGGCAGAGGCTTGTTTATTCTTGGACTGCTAGAAAGTGCGATGGCAGTGAGTTCAGCGCCAACAAAGGCTCCAGAGCAATTTTCTTAAAAAGACGGAGAGCTCTCAAAGATGGAAGGCCGTCACAAGAAGGCGACGAGATGGGCATCATCAGGGAACAACGAAGACCGTTGCTCAGTTCTCTTTGTGTCTCGTTTTGACAGATCAATATAAAACTGCTGTGGCGACGACTCGAGGAAGAAGGATAGGGCAAATAACCTTACTGTTTTGAGCATGATAACAGCGTATGCGTCGGAGACTGCCGAAGAGTTGACACGATGGCTTTAAATCAAGTAACGCTTCCCAGCCTGGTGTACTCATTTCAGGAGTAGCTGGAGCGTGTTTTTTTATTAAAGGCATGGCGTTATAAATGATGTTTGCAGGAGACTTGCTACTTTACGTCGGCAGCCTCAGGTGGCGTGCAACTTATGGAAACTGAAGCTGTAGATAGATGTGTGTCATTTTTTTTTCCTTGAAGGGGTAGTACGTATCCGTTTTTTTAAATGCAAAAATATGATATTGTGATTAGCACGGTGTGCATGAGGCAGCCAAGTATGACTACAAGTATATTTTATACTGACCTGCAATAATTTCGCAGAAGCGTTACAAGTGTCATTGCCCGAAAGTACACAGAGTATACCACTGAAAGTCTCAACACTGAAAGAAGTTCCAAAACACTCAATGGGATATATCTTGTATGAGGCAGGTATCTTCGAAATAACCGAAGAGTGGACAATTTCTCGTTTTTGTATTAGGGATGCCTGGCTGAAACTGGCTGGACCGGGCTGTGGCGGTGCCAAACTTTCGGTCCTGGGCCGGGTACGGGCCGTATTTAAAAACACAGGGCCACACTCTGGCAGACCGGAGCATGAAAATTTCGGGCTGGGCCGCACTCCTGCCGGAAAAATCGGTCCATGCAGTACACTAACGGAGGTCTTTAGAGCTGGCTCACTTCACTACAATAGTCGTGCGCGCGGGATAGGGGTAAGAGGGCGGCCACTCCCACAGTCACCGACTACGAGGAGGGGTGTGTCACAGCAACATTCGTTCTCTTCCTACAGAGCTACGACAGTTCTAGACGAGCTTGCGAAGGGCTTCGTTCAGGAGAATGAGCATTTAGGTACACTTTGAAGGTGAATCAAAGTGTATTCTGAACATCCGCTGTGCCCGACCGTTCGTGCGTAGTGTCCTAAGATACAGAAGAAACCCATAAGATGCTTGTTCTAGCCTCAAAATTTGATGCCACCACCCCTTTAACGTGCTTTAACATTGCATGGACCTCTACCGTTCCTTCTCCATCAAAATGTAACCACCGTGCCCGGATACGAACCCGCGACCTTCGGCTGAGCAGCCGAGCACGATGTATTAATAGTATTGCAGTCTGTGACACCCTTTATATGCGACACTCTGTTACCTTTTACGTATTCGCCAACTCAATTTCTACATGTATTTCTGTAATAAATAATCGATTTGTCATTGCGCCCCATGATGCAGCACCTATTGTTTTCAACGTATTTACGCATTTTGTTATGTTGATCCTGACGTTGATTTTATCTTTACTTCATGCATTTGATAACTTGAGGTCCCACAGCGGTGCTCACATTAAGGAACGTGTTTCAGCATTCTCCATAACTGTACCCTTCTCCCCTCGTACGTTCAATAAACTGAAACTGAAGCTGAAAGCATATCTATTCCTCACAGAAGCGGTTGTGGTGTGGAAGGAGTCATTACCTTTCCTAACATTCCATTACATCCCACTGGCGCAGCTACTTCAGCGACTTCAGCCTGTGCTCGTCCGCACTGCACGTTCGCGTTTGCGAACCACGCGGAGATGGTATAAGTAGCCTGGCTCACCTCCTGGACAGCGTGGTTCTGCGCGTGGCCGTGTGGGTGGTGGCGCTGGTTGCCTGCCTCGGAAACCTGCTCGTGCTCGTTGGGAGGCTAGTGCTGCGCGAGCCCAACGCGGTGCACTCCTTTTACATCAAGAACCTGGCACTGGCCGACCTCATCATGGGCGTATACCTTTTCGTCATTGCCTCGCACGACGTGGCGTTCCGAGGAGAGTACATCCGATACGACTACCGCTGGCGACGCTCCGTCGGCTGCAGCGTCTCTGGGTTCCTGTCGACGGTAAGGACACCATTTGATTTTCAATCCATTGATTCATTTATTAAGCGTGTTTATCGATTTTATTGTGATAGCGATCATATGAACAGGCTCGATGGGTTTTTGCCGTCACCGTTGGCGTCACCGTCCTGTCCCGTATAGAGTCCAAATCGATAAGACCCCTCACTTATCTTACAATCTACCCATGGGTAATAGCGCATGGGTGGGGGTGACGGATGTGGCTGAAGCAGAGATCAAGTGAAAGCAAATGTCTCACGCCTCTTTAACGAGCACGAAAAGAGGCAAGGAAAAGGGTTGCTCGAGCAGCAACTCTCAACTTTGATTTTACTGGTGTGGTCGCGATAGCATGCGTCCATGCTATCTCGCTATCTAGGCAGCCGTCTGCGGCAGCTCGTATACCCTTCCACATTCCACGCCCTCGATGCGAAAACATTGTGCGTAAATTGTCCCTGGAGCAGCTGTGTTCCTATACAACAGCGTTTTGTTGAAATGCGTGAGATTAGACCCAAAAGTGTTTGTTCCCAGTCTTACTCCTTATACCATTACAATTTGTTACTACGGGGAAACTGGCTTATATTCCAAGTTCTCTGTCGTGTTCGGTAGGTTATCAAGTGCACAAGTTCACCAACTCCACTGTGTTCTTTCGTGCAGGTCAGCAGCGAGGCGTCGGTGTTCACCCTGACGGTGATCACGGTCGATCGGTTTGCGTCTATCGTGTACCCGCTCTCTCTGAAACGTCGCACATTTCGGTTCGCGTGGATGTGTATGCTCTGCGTATGGCTGATGACCCTGTTGCTCGCCGCCGTGCCCATGATGCGACCCGACTACTACGGAGAAGAGTTTTACGGAAGCAACGGCGTGTGCCTGCCTCTCCACATTCACGACCCCGACTCCAAGGGTGAGTGAAGCATGTGAACGTTTAGTCCCGTATAGTGAACGATAGAAGGGGAATCCAAGGGCTCGTTTTTTCTTCGTTACATGCAAACTTCCTGAAAATCAACGAGGTGTAAGACCAAGGAAAGTATAAGAGAAGGTACTTGAAGTCTTTTAACTGAATGCAGTCTGAATGTAGCCTTTTAACTCAAGTGCGACATAAATTATGAAGAAATAAAGGGGCGAAAGGACTACTTGCTGCCTGCGAAGACCAAGCCTGCTCTACCGATTGAGCTGCAGCGATGATCGTTCATTGCCAACTTTATAGGTTGTTACTTTGCATGTAAACTTGGAAGTATTAGCGTCGATCGTAGCCACACCTATAAGATTTACATTCAATGTAAGATCCAATAAAAACGATGGGAATAAAACAAGCGTTGTAACTCAATTGGCAGAGAATTGTGCACGTAATCCATATCAATCTGGTTTGGTGCATGCCGGCAGCAAGGTGTTTTTTCGTTCACTTTATTATGTATAATTATCAGCTACATTACATTTAAAAGACTAGAAACAAAATCGTCCACGCCTTCCGGTAGCAGCTTCATTTTTTGTTGTTTTTCATTTTGGGCAATTTCGTGAGTCATGGTTAACTCTGCTTAGTAGTAATGTGATGTGCTGGGCTTGAGGATTCGTCCTGTGTGTGTGGCCTTTACGCGCATTTGAAAGACAGTCTCTGAAGTGCCTCACAGATGACCTAGACTGCCGACCCCTTTGGGAAGAGAAACGTTTGGGTGCTTGGGAACGCGTGGATCACGTTCAACGCAATTTAAAGGGCCTGCTCACATTTCTAAGCAAGACAAGTTTATATTCCGGTCTTTAGAGAATCTTCTAATGTAGCGACTTTTGTGCGTGTACTACACCGAACGAGACATTGTGTGCAGTGACTCATTGTGCTATACAACAATCACCCCTCATCATGCCCCCCTCTTTCGTTCCATTTTCTCCTTACCCCAGTGAGGAAACGCTGGCCAGAAGCCCGCTTTCAAGGCCGACCTCACCTCCTTCTTCTTTATAAACACTTTCTTCTTCTTCTTCTTTGTTGGTTCATACCAACTGGCACCCCTTAGAAGTATGCCCATATAACGCAGCATCAAAAATAAAAGTGGGAAGTGAGCAAACAAAAGATAAAGGTAGTGCTATGCACTTGTTACTGGGCCAGTTTTAAGAAATGAACAGCTCTGTCTTCACTTCTTTTGTCCACGTATTAGCGCTATAGGGTTAGTTTGGTGAAACAGCCGGAATTGGTCCGTGGCTGCCGAAAACTTTCTTTCTGGAGGCTTTCTCACTTTTCTTAGCAACAATCACACTGTCATGCACTGTGCGCGAGAAAGTTTAAAAATCATCGTCTTTTAAAGCAGAAACCCGCGTCACTGAGGCGTCGGTGTATCACGCTGGAGACGGCGTTCTTTTGAACAAGTTCTTTGACGTACACTCTATTTCACTGCATAACAGAAGCCCTTTGATGTTCAAGTTGGCTTACAATGTGCGAGCGCATTTATTTTTACCCTGCGAACGTCTTGCCCTGGTTTTCTCAAACAATCCTCAGCCCATCTGTCACTCTATGAAGTTGAGCAATGCGACGCCCATTCACTGCAAAAGGCGCTACAAGTTTGCAGAATGCACCGGGGAAAGTGAATAAGGTGATATTGACCCACAGGTGGCATTCCAATTGATTTTTGGGAGGGAAAGTCTACTGAAGTGAAAGTCGCCATAGATAGGCTTGTTTATTAACGACGAGCGATTTGCATACAGCGTTCACCGCTAGTGGTACGCGGATCCCCGGAGATCTTCAGCGTGCTCTCTATATTCTAAAGGAACTTGTTGTTGGGCTAGTTGGTAGAGCATTTCGTGTGTGTTTGATGCATGGGTGCGTGCGTGTGTGTGTGATCATGTCAAGCTTTCGCGCTCGAATTAACTTTAGAAATGCTTTCTATATCATGCGATGCTCCTACATATTGAAAGCTGCCCTCGAGATGCGCACGAAATAGTACCCTTTTCCGTACCCCCTCAAGATGCGGAATGAAACATAAAAAAGTAAGAAAAAAATGGCAGCATATCCACGGAGTGAATGATGGAGAGTGGGGCGAAGAATTTGTCCGTCCATTCGTTCTTGCTTCCGTCCGTCCATGCGTCCGTCAGTGTGACCGTACGTGCGTCCATCAGCCCGTCCGTGCGTGCGTCTGTTCGTGCGTCCGTCCCTGCGTCCATCCATGCATCTGTCTATGTGTCCGTTCATCCATTTATTCAACACTCCAAGTACCAACATCTCGCATCTTTTCATCATATATTCCCTATATAGAAGCACCGCCATTCAGCGGACATTACAAGGACTAAATGAGAGGTGGCACAGGCACACGTCCTTACGGCTTGCGCTTCGGGCCCACTTACCATGTTTAACCACCTCGAGTTCATGGTATATACTAGTTCACTGTATTCATGGCACTGCGGCCGAACGCTCACTAAACCTTTCGAAAATCAAGGAGGTTAAGCCCAGTGAGTTTGACGTAGCAAACTTTTTCAGTCAAATAGTGCTCAATGTACATGCCAATGGCTGCTAATGGAAAATGAGAGGCGGAGAATTCGGCTTTTACTTTCTTACGGCTTGCGCTTCGTATCTACTTCCCATTTTTAACCACCTCGAGTTCATTCATGGTATATACAAGTTCATTGTATTCATAGCACTGCGGCTCAACGCTCGCTAAACCTTTCTAAAGCTAAGGAGGTTACACCCAGCGAGTATAACGTAGCAACCCTTTCTTGTCAGATAGTGCTCAATGTACATGCCAATGGCTACTAATGGTGATCGCAGCCTGCGCGTTAACTAAAAGCCGAATGCTCCTGTCTCTCATTCCCCATTAGCAGCCATTGACATGTACATTGAGCACTATTTTTTATTGTTCAACAACGCACAAAAGAAGTCTCTCACCGGCACCAGCTTGGAGGTCAAAATGTTATACTTGTTACATTCTACGAGGGACGAACGGGTGCCGCTATAAAGAGCTTCGCCTCTAAAAAACACAGGAATTACCTTGCGTTGGGTTTAGAGTGAATTTTGTATAGACCCTTTCAAGGTTTACAAGCACAGCCTCTTGATGACTTACGGTTTTGTTCACCTATGTGGTTTAATAGTACCCATTTCCGTACCCCCTCAAGATGTGGAATGAAACATAAAAAAGTGTGAAAAAAATGGCAGCATATCCACGGAGTGAATGATGGAGAGTGGGGCGAAGAATTTGTCCGTCCATTCGTTCTTGCTTCCGTCCGTCCATGCGTCCGTCAGTGTGACCGTCCGTGCGTCCATCAGCCCGTCCGTGCGTGCGTCTGTTCGTGCGTCCGTCCCTGCGTCCATCCATGCATCTGTCTATGTGTCCATTCGTCCATTTATTCAGCACTCCAAGTACCAACATCTCGCATCTTTTCATCATATATTCCCTATACAGAAGCACCGCCATTCAGCGGACATTCCAAGGACTAAACGAGAGGTGGCACAGGCACACTTTCTTACGGCTTGCGCTTCGGGTCCACTTCCCACCTTTAACCACCTCGAGTTCATGGTATATACTAGTTCACTGTATTCATGGCACTGCGGCCGAACGCTCGCTAAACCTTTCGAAAACCAAGGAGGTTACGCCCAGTGAGTATGACGTAGCAAACTTTTTCAGTCAGATAGTGCTCAATGTACATGCCAATGACTGCTAATGGAAAATGAGAGGCGGAGAATTCGGCTTTTACTTTCTTATGGCTTGCGCTTCGTATCTACTTCCCATTTTTAACCACCTCGAGTTCATTCATGGTATATACAAGTTCATTGTATTCATAGCACTGCGGCTCAACGCTCGCTAAACCTTTCTAAAGCTAAGGAGGTTACACCCAGCGAGTATAACGTAGCAACCCTTTCCTGTCAGATAGTGCTCAAATACATGCCAATGGCTACTAATGGTGATCGCAGCCTGCGCGTTAACTAAAAGCCGAATGCTCCTGTCTCTTATTACCCATTAGCAGCCATTCACATGTACGTTGAGCACTATTTTTTATTGTTCAACAACGCACAGAAGAAGTCTGTCACCGGCACCAGCTTGGAGGTCAAAATGTTATACTTGTTACATTCTACGGGAAACGAACGGGTGCCGTTATAAAAAGCTTCGCCCCTGAAAAACACAGGAATTAGCTTGCGTTAGGTTTAGAGTGAATTTTGTATAGACCCTTTCAAGGTTTACAAGCACAGCCTCTTGATGACTCACGGTTTTGTTCACTTATGTGGTTTAATAGAAATGGAGGACCACAGAAGCTTTAAAAAAGAGCCCATTAATTCTCTACAGCTTTCTTCCCATATTTGGCAAAGTTTATTCAAATAAATGTTGTTTTAAACTACATAAAATTGATAAAACATTTCTCGTACTTCACGCACGTTTCTTTCATGTGAAAAAGGTAAAAAGACTTTCCTTACGCTTGAAAAGAAATTGAAGACGTGCTTTCGGTTTCAGCGTCCAGAGCTGGTAAATGAGGTGACCAGAACTTTTTGGGTACAACGCTTGCGACCGTCTATAGTTCGGTTCTACAGCGTGGCAGGAAACGCAGAGGTGTACACGTGCCGCAGTTTCCTAGAGAAAAAATTATCTAAGGGTGTCAGGTTGTGCATTGACGACACATGCGGTGGGTATAGCCGAAACGCAAAGTCGTAACAACTGTACCAGTTGTTAGTTCACGCTTGTCCTGTCTAGACTTGCGCATTGTTTTCGAGCGTACTTGTTCGCGCTTCAGCGGCGCGCTACAGGCATCGAGCTGCTTGCCATTCTTAATGTGACGTTGAAATTTCTCCTTGTAGCATTCATTGACTCACTCTTACAGGAAATATGACTTTTTTGGCGCACGTCATCGAGAGTATCCGGTGCTCCTGTGAAAAACGGCTGTCATTCGATTCTTCGGTCAGATAAAGTGTCTATTTCTGCAACCATCGTAGGGAAA